TGTACTTTTATAGAAAGAAATATTCTAGAAATCAAACCTTAAATAACACTCAAACAACTGTCACAAATTGAGCGAATGGTTTAGTACAAATGATGAATAGTAATAAGCAGTAGAAAGCATCAAAACCTATTCAAAACTATTTCGAGCATTATTGACAATTTTTAGTGTTTTAACTTTTCCAAAACAGTCTAATCAATTTTTCACGTCATTAGTCAACTGTGAAAGGTTTAATGTTGACCAGAAAAAATAAAAAAGTTCTATTGCAAATCAAGAAACGCAGAAAGTAACAGTGAAATGTTTCACACATCATTTACTGAATGAACCAAGTTGGACAGCAAGAAATACTATCGACGTCAGCACTGATGAAAAGTTGAATTTCAGGATATATTGGTACATTCGTTCCTCAGTGTTCTTGGAATGATCAATTTGGGAATTTTATTATATATTATACTTGATCCATTTTCTGCGTTAGCAGTGTTCATATTTGTTTCACATCTGGTCTTCTCCAGCATTATGCTTTTGGGATTGAAACACCAAGCGCCGTGCTTATTAGGACCAAATATATTATTCAAAGTACGATACAGAAATGATAAACAGTTTTAGCTTTATCTACCTCTTTTTGAGTCAGTCTTATTAACAAGTAAGCAAGACAGCGTCGTATTTTTCTAGACCGATTTGCGACTAGCGTCAAAAGTAGTTAGACGTAAAGAAACTCTTGGAAATGAGAAAAAGTCCTTTATTAAAGAACATAATATAAGAAGAAAAAGGCAAAGGTAGCAGGTAACTAATTTAGAGCTGGGAGAGAAAGAAAGAAAAGTCATACTTTATTAAAATTTCCTTAATGACGTCTTTTTAATAGTACAATTTTTGTCTGTCAAGAGGATAACTTATCGTGATAAGAGTTTTTTCTGGGTTTTACCAGTTTCACATGGCTCATTACCAATGCACTATTTAAGATGTCTGAGGCCAAAAAAAAATTTCTTTTGGCAGACAGTTAATAAAAAGTAGGAAGGTGCAGGAAAACCTTGAACTCAAGATTCTCTTTTTTCGTATTTTTGATGTAACGTTTCTGACTCTTTCAATTTGTTCTCAAACACTAAATTAATTTTTATTAAGATTTCAAATAATTTTGTGGTACTCTGTAACCAGTATTTAAATATTTTATAAGTTCATCAGTAGTTTAGAAAAGTTCGAAACTTATTGGCTGACAATTAGCAGAAAGTAAAAAAGTGCAAGAAAACTTTGACCTTAAATTAGAACTACTGTCAGGAGTAAAATGACTAAGCTTTATGATGTTATCACTGCTTACACTGTACCGGTGATTGATTCTGCTAACTTTTAAGTGATACACTTTTATTAGTGCAAGTTTTTCACTGTGCTACTTTTTTCTGTCTTTGCGATTAAGATGTAATTTTATTGATTTGAGACTGTCTAGTCTAGTTGAATAATGAGAAAGTAATAGGACTGATTCGTAAAACAGATACAAGAAAAAAGGTTCTGAGGTACAAGTATAAGCGGTTAGAAGGAGAAAAAATCAAGATCTTTAGCTGCATAAGATTTAATTGTCGATAATAATGATCTCACTTATGTTTAACACGAAAAAAGCTCAGACTAACAGACAGCAGTTTATGCTAGACTAAAATACAAAATTGTCAAGTGTGATTTTTCAAAAAATTAATCATTGTTGATGCAATTGTCAATTTTTTGAGTGTGTTTTTTTCTTTGCAGATTTTTCTTATCACATACATTATACTGTTTGGTTTAACCACCAAAGAAGAAAGTTTATCAGCTGAATTATCCTATGTTGATGTATGGATTGGGTTAACAGCGTTTTGGTATACCGTTGAATTACATGTAATATTTGCAACTTTATTCCGCATTTATACAAATAACAGAGGACGCGTGAAGCCACCGCCGAGTTATGAGAAAGGTTTATATTGGTTTTCCAACGTTCTCTCCTTATTACCAGTTTGTACCAAACTTTGCCATAT